TATATAACCTTAATTTATGTTCCACAACGAATGTTATAGATGGATGCCTCAAAATATATTGGTATTAGTGAATGTTACGATACTGATGACTACTGTATAATTGATATTAATGAATCTAGTATTTTATATATAACCTTAATTTATGTTCCACAACGAATGTTATAGATGTATGCCTCAAAATATATTGTTATTAGTGAATGTTACGGTACTGATGACTACTGTATAATTGATATTAATGAATCTAGTGTTTTATATATAACCTTAATTTATGTTCCACAACGAATGTTATAGATGTATGCTGCAAAATATATTGTTATTAGTGAATGTTACGATACTGATGACTACTGTATAATTGATATTAATGAATCTAGTATTTTATATATAACCTTAATTTATGTTCCACAACGAATGTTATAGATGTATGCTGCAAAATATATTGTTATTAGTGAATGTTACGATACTGATGACTACTGTATAATTGACAGTATTAGTGAAATAATGTAATTTTTAACATCAGTAAATCTTCATTCTTGTACATCGTTTGAGAACACAACGATTTTTAAGAGTGTTGTTGAAGTAAGTACATTTATCTCATGTGTAGCGACTGTTGTCTCTTTCTTAGCAACCTAAAAGTTCCACCTTAGCTTCCTTCCTTCAACCTTTCGAACAGACTCTTTGGATTTTGGTGATGGTTTCCGTCCACGTTGTTGCACTAGCTTTATATCTTTTAGACAGATTCAGTCCATTTGGACGTTACAAACTACCAAACAGTGATGCTACAGAAGAAGACGCCTTAAATTTGTCTAGCGCCATCTGGTTTGCTTGGGGAGTATTACTCAACAGTGGGATTGGAGAAGGTAATAAAGAAACCAAAAACGCTAATAGATAATACATTGGTAAAAAAAATCGGATTTATTTTATTTTATTATTTAATTAAACTCATAGGTATAAGTTCAAATAAAGTTCCATATTTTGTTTGAGAGAAATTTAAAGTGAAGGTTTGACTTCCTATCTGAGATTTTTATTTTTTTAGTAATGATGACTTACACATTCACATAAGAGTCTTTCATATATGAAAGATGGTTAATTTGTTCTAGGTACTCCTCGCAGCTTTAGTGCCAGGGTATTAGGAATGGTGTGGGCAGGATTCGCTATGATTGTTGTTGCGTCATATACAGCCAATTTGGCTGCGTTTCTCGTTTTAGATCGTCCTGAGACATCGCTTACCGGTATAAATGATGCCAGAGTAAGTAGTTATATACGTATACTACTTTTTAACGATGCTCGAGTAAGTATATATATGCATATATTAATGGGTTAAATGATGACAGGGTAAGTAGTTATATACATATATTACTTTTTAACGATGCTCGAGTAAGTATATATATGCATATATTACTGGGATAAATGATGCCAGGTAAGTAGCTATAAACGTATACATATATATAAGTATACTACTGGTTTTAACGATACTCGAGTAAATATATATGTATATATTCCTGGGATAAATGATGCCAGGTAAGTAGTTATAAACGTATACATATATAAGTATACTACTGGTTTTAACGATACTCGAGTAAATATATATGTATATATTCCTGGGATAAATGATGCCAGGTAAGTAGTTATAAACGTATACATATATAAGTATACTACTGGTTTTAACGATACTCGAGTTAGTATATATGTATATATTACTGGGATAAATGATGCACGTATATCATTTTTCTGATACTAACTAATCTAGACTGTCGTTCGAGAGTTATGTCTTCCCCTTTATCAATACTCCAGTTTAAGCTGTTATTGAAATACTTCCCTTGTATATACTTCAGTACACCGGTCTAGTCAGTTTAAGCTGTTATTGAAATACTCCCCCTTTGTGATTACACCAGTCTACTGAACTTAAGCTGTTAGTGGTACACCCGTATAGTTCCTTAAGCATGTTTTACTGGTTGTTTTTAGAAGGTAAGCTAGGTAGAAGTTACATAAGTTTTACTGAAAGTTTCACGTTAGTCAGAAAAATCCATATTATAAATATTCTTTCAATATTTATGTTCCTTGTACTAGTTTAATCACTAAATTTACCCACATTATTGTTTACTTTTTTCAATGTATTAAGAAAATCACGGTGTCAACGTACCTTGTTATGTAGCTTGTTTTATCAATTCTGTTGCTGTATTGTGATCAGTTATTTTCTTCAGTAAGAACTTTGAGTTTAATATTTAGGCATTTATAATATATTCAATATGTTTGAAGTTATCAATGTTTGTGGTTTGCAGCTTCGTAACCCTCTAGAGAACTTTACCTATGCCACGGTAAAAGGCAGTGCAGTTGATATGTATTTTCGACGCCAGGTGGAGCTTTCAAATATGTATCGAACTATGGAAGGTAAAAATTATGACTCAGCAGAAGCGGCCATCGATGCTGTGAAATCTGGGTAAGTTTATTATTGTCTTTCTACACTCCTGTTGTCTGTCTGAAGACACTGGGACATCTAAGTGATCAAGCATACATATTTATACAATCACAATTAAAGAATCTCAACCGATCGAATTTCTCGAACTTTCCAATCCCCTCATAAAGAGGTGACTAACTTCGGAATGTTTATTTATTGTAGAATTTTGCGCAAAGTTTTTGCACAAGTTATATCTGCGCATATCAATCCTTAATTTTTAACTGATAGACTAAAGGGGAGTAAGCTAGCCAGCGGCAATAACCGCCAACTCTTGGGCTACTTTTTATCTGTTCGTATGAAGGGAATTTGACCGTCATTTTTATAGCGTATTCATTGCACCAAAATGTGAAATGTGGTTTTTGTGACAACAGGTTGTAAAACCACGAATCATGGGATTCCCTGTTCGATCATGCTAACCTCTAGTCTACCCTGTCTACTTTCCGAATGTGGTCAGTATTGTTTTTATACTATAACCTATTTATTTTTATATTAATAAATAACTAAAATGAAACCATATCAAAACTATGCTAGAATAGAAAATATAAAACACTGATATCATTGGTCACATGACGACTTGCCTAACATTTTAGTTGGTAAAGATAGCCCAAGAGCTGTCAATGGATGGTACTGACTAGCTGTCTTCCCTGTAGTCTATCACATCTAAGTTAGAGACGGTTAGCACAGATAGCCCTCGAGTAGCTTTGCACAAAATTCAACAAAACAAACCAACAAACAAACACATAACTGTTGTTTAGTAATCAGAACTTCTACCCGATTCTAGATACGTATTGACAAAAGCATTCTCTAGTTATTTTTTTTAAGTAAGATCTGTAATAGCTTAAATACGTAAGTTACCAAACATTATACAAAAACCACGCGTCTTTTATAAATACGGGCTTTTTAGTCTAATGATAAATTTATAATTTCATTAAAAAAATCAGTTTGTATAGAATTTGAGCCTTTAAAATGTTTTGATAATTTCACTATGCCGTGAAAACGGTACTATGAGCTATAAATTAAAAATCATGGTGTATGTAAAGTAGCGTTTTATTCGTGAACATTGATAAAGCGCTGAAAGTGACAAGTATTCAAGATTATGCTTTTTGACTTCGTACACTGTTCGACATGTGTAGAAGTTCCTAGTATCGCAAGACAGTCAATTTTGTTCTTGCAAACCTAAAGCCCCCCCCCTCCCCCAGTGGCACGGTGGTATGTTTGCGGAGTTACAACGCTAGAAACCAGGTTTCTATACCCGTGGTTGGCAGAGCACAGATAGCCCACTGTGTAGCTTTGTGCTTAATTACAAACAAACAAACCAAACACGGGAGTGCAGCTCAGCAGACGTAAATCTTCCACAACCCTATAAGGACTTCAGATGAAAATCACGCTCTGGTTGTGTTATCCAATATTTTCGTTAGGGAATCAAGTAACACATTTACAGCTGACAATTTAGAGGTTTCGATTAGAATAGCGTATTTCTAACATTATTCACTTTTGTGAAGAAGAAACGTTTATCTCATACATTGTATTCTTACTGAAAACACTCGTGGCAATGAGGAAATATTTAAATTGTTGAATTCAAAATCGTTTTATTGTTTCAAAATTTTCGCGCAAATCCGTTACTATTTTTCAACTGATAGATTAATATTATTTAACTTTGTTTACTCTTATTTGATTTCACCAATTTTGTCATTTCGAAGATTAAATTTAGTTTCAAAATATCTAATTATATTTCTGATGCAGATTTTGTAGTAATCACTTTGTAGTATCAAGACTATTTAAAATACCAGCACGAGTTGAAGCAGTGAAGCAAATATAAGACGCATTTCAACTATAATCATACCACGCTTCATAACAGAAGAATGATGAGATTTTTAATGGAAATAGGCTTGGCGCAAGGTTTGTTATAAATGGTTAAGTGATATTGTTATTCTTTATACTCATCCTAGTGTCTGTAAAAGTAGTTCTTTAAATCAAGCGTAAATTTCATGATTTGATACAAGAGGGAAATTTATGAATAAGTGAAATTTAACTGTACACATAAATATTGATTTCAAACTCCAAAGGTTCCTTCAGTAAGCCGATACCATACCGTTGGTTGTTTGTTATCGGATTGTAACCACAACTAGGTGACTTTACACTTCGATGCATCCATAAAACAGAGCAACCATCCTATTCTATAAAGATAAAGCTCTGATTTGTTTGTGCTTTAAAGTATAAGTTAACTAATTTTGAAAATTATTCTGAAACTAAATTTTATAATATTAATAATGACGTAAAAACCTCAGAGAAGCTTCTGGGGGACATGTAAAGTATACAAAAAAGGGTGTGAAACCTGCAATATGTGTTATAAAACACATGGGGTAAGGTGTCTGTTCTTTGTCTATTCAGTAGCTGTACATTGTTCTCGTTTCCCCCCCCCCCTCGATTATTCAGAGTCTGTATTAACTTTTGTGGGTTCAACGAATAACAAATGGGGTTAATCTGATCTCATGATATAATAAAGCCTTAGTGATGGATTATTGAATAATGATAAGTTCGATGTTAATACAGAGAGCTTAATGCTTTTATCTGGGATTCCTCTCGGCTGGAGTATGAAGCTGTTCAATCCTGTGATCTGGTGACAGCAAGGGAACAGTTCGGCCGCTCCGGCTACGGAATAGGACTGCAGAAGAACAGCTTCTGGGCTGACCAGGTTACTTTAGCCTTGTTACAGATGCATGAAAGTAAGTAAAACCATTCTATTCTTAATATAGTTTAAATAATTACTTTACTACAGTTAAATGTAGTAGGGTAATAAAATATACAGCCTGTCGCTTAATAAGACCATCAAAACTCGTTCCTTGTGGCGAATCACTCGTCATCGATGAATATCTGACATATTTAATATTAATTGGATGGTCATTGGTTAAGGCGCTGATAATTAGTATTGTAACCTCCTTAGTATAAACCGTCATGAAACATAATTTCTGGATAATTTCTTGAAGATTTAATTTTAAGATAATTATACACACCGAGGACAAAATTATTTCTGTAAAGTAATAAGTCGCTCTTTAACATTAAGTGTGATTAGACGCAAAAGCTGTGTTCATGTGTCTAAGATCCCTAGTATTTGTTCACTGAATACACATTCATATATTAATCTTCAACAAATAACCTCATTGTAACTTCATCGTTTTATATGTAGAATTATACACGGACGATGAGGGTTCCGGTAAGAGAGCCAAAGGTTCGAAAATGAAAGTATTTTAACGTAGAGAAAAGTCCGTGTGTTATTCTACATATTAATTTACCCACGTTATGAGTCTTAAAAACAGTTCATCTTTTTATATTAATAAACCATAATAAATTCAAACCACATTATTCGTTTAAAATAGTTGAAAGCTTTTTCGAACACTACAGAGGTAAACATTCTCTCCTGTTTAGGTTAAACGTTGGATTATTGTTATTGATTTAATTTTTGTCATTTACAAAACAATATATCAATCCGAAACATTCAGGATTAAAATGTCAATACTTTCACCTGCTAAAGAAGTAAAACAACTTGTAATTTACGGTAATTTTAAGCAAGTTTTTTTTTGGTTATTCTGATACATGATTTTAATAAACTGATTTCTTAAGGTGGCTACATGGAGAAGTTGGACAACAAGTGGATATTATCTGGAGACGGTAAATGTGAGAATAAGAGTGAGAAGTTTCCTGCTACTCTGGGATTAAAGAACATGGCTGGTAAGGAGATCCTTTAACGTTTTTCTCACTTCAACAAAACTACAATCACAAAGTATTAAAAAACATAGAAAACTTTAATACAAACTACTTGTTACCCGTGTTATATTGACAGAATAGGCTATTTGTTTAAGTTATCCATTTTCAAAGCTCATATATTGTTACGTCTCCGTTTGTTAATTAAC